GGGGAGAGAACCTGAAACAAACTTCAAATTGTGTATCTGAGTTTTAATTGCAGCTTTAATTTTAAAAGCGGCTCTGGAAAACTGGCATAACAACCCCAACATCTCATTTTTCTGTGTGCCATCCGAAGCATGTCAGCTGACACTCAGAAAAAGCTTTTGCCTTTCCCCCACTACCTCCTGTACACCTTTAGAAGTACAATGCAAAATTCTGTTTCTTTTGGAAAATTCTGTCTATGGGAAACATTCAGCTCCAGCAGCAAAAGGGAGGTGGTCCAGGTCCAAGGCAGAATCTGGACTAAAAAAAATAAATAAATAAAAAAAAAAATCACTGCAGCCATGGTGATGCTAACGGAAAAGACTAAAGTTTGATTTTCAGATCTGAAATATTAAATCTATGCCCTGCCATACTTTACATTACCAAGATCACCGGCTATCTGTTGTTTCAGAAAAAGAGAAGCTCCTGGCTCCCAGCTCTGCAGGCTTTCCTCCCAGATTAATACAGTTTTAAATGGTAACTCTCCCAACAAGGGGACTAGGTCAGTTTATTACAATACAGGTTTTGCTAATTACATTAATATGGACTAGCTATTACTAAAAGTTTAAGTAGCTGCAGACTTAATTTGGTTTACACTGAGATAACAAGCTTGATAAGAAGATAGTAAGATAAGCTTTTGGCATCACTTCTCAGTTATTTTTCAGAGGATATTTGCATTCTGCAAGCTAAAATCAATCTCTACACAAAGCCAGATTTGAGTGCAAAGCTTGACAAAAATAAAATGCAAGTACTGGTTCTGTAAGCTTGAATGCTTAAAACAATTCAAAGACTGACAACAAAGACGGCATCCTAATAACAAAGAGTATTATTGGATGTACTAAAAGCTACGTGAGGTTCAAACATTAGCAATTTGATTCCTTATCGGACGGGAGCACCCCTCGCATTTCCCTGGTTGATTCCCTTTAAAGATGTAAGTTTTTAATTATTATTATTAAGAGTTGAAGCAAGTGAGATTCTTTTAAGGCCAAAGCCCTGCGGTGGCTGACCAGAGGACGGTGGGAGCCCGCTCAGAGCCCCGTCCTGCCCAATGCCCAAGCTGAACCCATCACATGCACAGAGCAAATTATTATTTCTGGAGTGTTCTGCCAGCTAATGCACTACAATTGAAATCTGGAACTTCCCCGATCTTATTTCAAAATATCACAACTAATACATTTTTCCCCCTGCAAATCTCCCCTTTCAAATAATGAGGGAAAGTTGGGAGACAGAGAATCTTGAAAAAAAACCCCATTATCTACAAGACTTTAAAGTCAAAGATTTCTTTCTTATCCTCAAATGGGTACAGATCACATTAAACATTAGAGCATGTTTATAGCACTTGGCACGTGCCCCCGTGAAACCATATGTATCTGAGAAGTTACACCTACACACGATACCACAAGGAGAGTCCTAACGTTGGTCCCGGTTTTAGTTACGTCCGGGATCTGAAATGACTACCCTTCCTTTGCCACCTTCCCCCGCCATAAAGGCTGCGCTATTTGCGGGCAAGAAAGAATGCGGGTCTGTTGTTACAGCCTGCAAGGCGTAAGCTTTTACACTGCCAGAGTTAAACAGAAACCCCTGCACACTGCGTGGATGGCTTCCATCCACCTGGGCTCACACTACGACTTTGCACAAACCTCTGTTTGCAGCATTGCTGAAAGGAACGGTCGGGTTTTCAACCTCAATTGCTTCTTTATGTCAGGTACCTAATTTCCTTAAGTCTACGTAAAATTGGTTTAACTTTGCAACAGAAACAATCAAAGCAAAGTTAATCAAATTCCACCCCTCTAATAAAATGATGTAACATGCTATGTTCTAAAATCTCCTGATGTTCAAAAGGAAGTCAGAGCCACTTCTGCCCAATAATTCCTCCTTGCTGAAAAGCAAAGTTTTTTGGAGTGGGTGTTTTAATTGTTTTATAAGTCAGCGAACATAATATAGAGAATAATTGTTTTTTAAAAAAGTCAGTTCAAACAAGCCAAGAAACCTGCTGAGTTTACCTATACAAGTATTACTGACTTTTTTTAAGCGAATGTTTCCATGCTTCAGGAAAAGAGGATTTACCCACACATCAGTCAGACTCCTGGAGGAGAACTTTCAACCTAGAAAACATGCAACTGCCTCCATAGCCTATATTTGCAATAAAGAACAGGCTCCCAGTACAAAAAAAAAATATACAGGAAGGGGCGGGGGGCATACCCAGTTTAAAAGAAAACATCTCCACAATAAACACAATTCCTATAATGAAACCTGGATTTTTAGTCTCATTTGTATCCCAAGGGAAAGGATTGCACAAAACAGTAATTTGAAAACCCCACACGAGCATTTGGCCCAGCTGTGCTCTACTTTCAAAGGGGTACAGGAGGAAAACTGCCTGGACAAATCTCGTAATAAAACTCTAAGATGCCTTGGCTAGGAGAAC